TGGCTGCAGACTCGTTTCCTGAAAGTAAAAATACCAGGAGAACATCTAGGCCATGTTATTACTCTGATTCCATGGTCTTCGACTGAAGGACCGCAACCGTGGTCTAGTGGTAGAGCGTCCGCCCGGAGAGCGGAAGGCCCGGTGTTCCATCCCCGGCCGGGTATTAACACAAGACGTTAAAAGATCGTACTTGTTGTTACCCTGTCTGGCGCTCGGCGTAAATGGGCTAAAACAAGGACTGGTCGGCTCGGAGTCAGTATTCTGTGTCTGAGTGGGGTATTCATGTTAAACTGCGGCATGGTATCTCAGTGAGCTAGCACTATAAATCGGCATCAGTCCGGACTAGTATAAGCAGCCACACACACACACACGTGCATGCACGTCGCTATGTAAGTGCAATAATCTTGGACGCGACGTTAAACCCAATTTCACCTCACCTTAGATTTTCTTTCATTTGTTGTTGGAAAACATCCTTATTTAGTGAATGATGTACATAATACATTTGTGTGTGTAAACTTATCATTATATGATACGTGCATCCTCCACGAAGGAGTGCGCCTCTGAGTTTTGACGAACTTTCTCAAAAACTACTTATATATGTTCAATTTATTCTCAGAAAAACCCACCAACGTTGGTACATGAGAAACATTATAATATACATTCATAATGTAATAAAAATATCAGTATCAAGATAACAGGAGAATTGTGCAAATACATAGTGATCAAAGGTTAAAATGAAATGTGACAGAAATAAAGTAACAAGAATCTAACAAGATGAGTGAGTGAGTGAGTGAGTATGGTTTTACGCCCATTTTAGCAATATTCCAGCAATATCACGGCGGGGGATACCAGAAATGGACTTCACACATTGTACCCATGTCGGGAATCGAACCCGGGTCTTCAGCGTGACGAGCGAACGCTTTAACCACTAGGCTACCCGACCGCCCTCTAACACGATGACAGAATTGTGCAAATACATAGTCATCAAAGGTTACAAGGAAATATGACAGAAACTAAGTAACAAGAATCTAATACACGTTTTCAAACAGCTTCAACATTTCTAAATCTGGAATTGATGAATTAGGACAGTTTTTTATATCTTTTACTCTTATGCTTGGTAAACATTTTTTTAAAATTTATACATATTAAGGAATTCAGAGACATCTTGAGGTATGTACACAGACCGCCACTGGATAAGGGAGTGGGTGAGAATGGTTTTACGCCGCTTTTAGCAATATTCCAGCAATATCATGGCGGGGGACACCAGAAATAGGCTTCACATATTGTATCCATGTCGGGAATCGAACCCGGGTCTTCGGCGTGACGAGCGAACGCTTTAACCACTAGGCTACCCGACTGCCAAAGGCTTCACATCTAAACAGCTAATGAAACTCGTCACCAACCGTGAAACCACATTTTACACACTGTTCTTGCTGGTCATGATTTTAAATGAGTTGGTGTCTTAAATTCATTTTTACAGAGTTATGGCCCTTGCTCCGTGCATTTCAACTTTGTGCATTTTGCGGAGACGAGATTTCTCAGAAACTACTGCACAAAACTACAAGAATAAAATGCCGCATGCCTGACTTGTGAAGACAGAGCTCGACAAGTGGTGCCGTAAATTGTATTTTTACAGAGTTATGCCCCTTGCTGTATGTTTTTTTAACTTAGTGTATAGTGTCTGTAATGGGAACAAGTCTTCTCCGAAACTACTGAAGTTACATGAATGAAAGTTTGCATGCTTATCTGACCCACAAAGATTCCGGGGTAGTGAGTGAGTGAATATGGTTTAACGCCGCTTTTAGCAATATTCCAGCAATACCGGGGTAGAAAAGGTCTTCAGCAACCCATACTTGCCGTAAAAGGCGACTATGCTTGTCGTAAAAGCGAGTAACGGGATCGGGTGGTCAGGCTCGCTGACTTGGTTGAAGCATGTCATCAATCCCAATTGCGTGGATCGATGCTCATGATGTCAATCACTGGATTGTGTGGTCCAGACTCGATTATTTTACAGACCGCCGTCATATAGCTGGATTATTGCTGCGTTGAACAACAAACAAACAAACAAAGCATGCTTATCTGAGAGATAACTCGGTGCCATAAATAACATTTTTCCAGAGTTCATCATTTTTTTAGATTTCGTGCATACACAGTACGGTCCTTGATCTATGTTATTTTTTATGGTGCATATTGTCTGTAACGGGGAACGTCTTCGCAGAATCTACTGAAGTTATTCTACCTATCAAGACTGAGTTCGAAAATCAGATTTACTAGACATAAAGCCACCCTAGTGCCCATCTCTTCTTGAGGATATATATAGGACTTTCTTCTTTATAGTTAACATTGACCGCCTCCGTGGTCTAGTGGTAGAGGGTCCGCCCGGAGGGCGGAAGGTCCGGGGTTCGATCCCCGGCCGCGTCATACCAAAAGACGTTAAAAGATGGTACTTGTTGTTACCCTGTCTGGCGCACTGCATTAAGGGCCTAAAACAAGGACTGGTCAGTATACTGCGTCTGAGTGGGGTATTCATGTTAAACTGCGGCATGGTATCTCAGTGAGCTAGCACTGTGAATCGGCATCAGTCCGGACTTGTACAAGCAGCCACACACACACGTGCATGCATGTCGTTAAACCCCATTTCACCTTCACCGTCACCTATAGCTTACATTAGTCGCTTTATGGGTGAAATAATGAGTGAGTGAGTGAGTTAAGTTAAACGCCGCTTTTAACAGTATTCCAGTTATATCGCGGCGTGTCAGCTTAATGTGGGAGGAAAGCCCGAAGTGATGCAGGTCTCAGACGTTTACCACTTCGGTGAAACCCACGAGCACGGGTATGGTGCTGACAAACCTAGAAACATAATCGGGGCGAACCGGGATTCGAACCCACAATCATAGGTTTCTGGCGTGCCCAAGGGACGCAACTCTGCACAGCGAATCGCGGCGCCTTAGACGACTGGGCCCCCCGTGCCCCCCGGTGAAATAATGCCGATGCGACGTTTAATTTTAACTCCCTGTATAGTTAACTTTAACTTACTTGTTATTCACTGTTATATGTATGAACAACATTTTGTAATGTGCCTCAAGGCGATACCCACCAGGCTTTAAACTCTGCTACCCACTTTTTTACGGCGACATAGGAAGGGTCATCCTTCCCCAGTCATAGACGGGTCCAGACGGGGCCTACAGGGGGACAGAATCGTTGCGCATTATTTTCAGAGAGCACAGCAATGCAAAACAGCAATGTGACAGTAATTTAAATGGACCACTGAAAGTCAGTGTTCACGAAACGGGTGAGCATGTCCTGCTCTACCGGCAGCACCCGTCACTCATACAATTTGAATTAAAACGCACGTGAAGTATAAAGCCTTAACAACAACCAACCGCTTTTTTTTCTTTTTTTGTTTAACGCCGCACTCAGCAATATTCAAGCTATATGACGGCGGTCTGTAAAATAATCGAGTCTGGACCAGACAACCCAGTGATTGACAGCATGAGCATCGACCCACGCAATTGGGATCGATGGCATGCATCAACCAAGTCAGCGAGCCTGACCACCCGATCCCGTTAGTCGCCTTTTACGACAAGCATAGTCGCCTTTTACGGCAAATATGGGTTGCTGAAGACCTATTCTACCCCGGAATCTTCACGGGTCTTTAATGATGTTAGTCCCGATTAGTCCCGAGGTGAGGTGAAATTGGGTTTAAAGTCGCGTCCAAGGTTATTGCACTTATATAGCGATGTGCATGCACGTGTGTGTGTGTGTGTGTGTGTGTGTGTGTGTGTGGCTGCTTGTGCTAGTCCGGACTGATGCCGTTTTATAGTGCTAGTACACTGACATACCATGCCACAGTTTAACATGAATACCCCACTCAAGCACAGTATACTGACTCCGAGCCGACCAGTCCTTGTTGTAGTCCCTTAATGCCGATCGACAGACAGGGTAACAACAAGTACCATCTTTTAACGTCTTTTTTGTATGACGCGGCCGGGGATCGAACCCCGGACCTTCCGCTCTCCGGGCGGACGCTCTACCACTAGACCACGGAGGTGGTGGGGGACTGAGGACCGATCCCTTTTTGTAATGCTCAGAGTATACAAAACCAGGTATTGTGGAATCACCATCTACAGACAAAGTTCAAATGATGAGAATGTGCATTGCTCAGGGATCCCCCGGGCGGTCGGGTCACGCCGAGGATCCGGGTTCGATTCCCGACATGGGTAAAATGTGTGAAGCCTTTTTCTTATATCTGTAGTGATCTATCTCGACTAGCTTGAGGTGTTACATGGTGACGGGGCGGTAGGTACTAGCCTAGTGGTTAAAGCGTTCGCTCGTCACGCCGAAGACCCGGGTTCGATTCCCGACATGGGTATAATGTGTGAAGCCCATTTCTGCCGCCGTTATATTGCTGGACTAAAAGCGGCGTTAAACCAAATTCACTCACTCATTCAAGGATCACCACAGGCAATCGTTGATAGGTACGGATAACCCATTCTGTCCAGGAATGCCAATAATGCGACAACGTCTTGACATCACCACGTGCGATATTGCATGAAGTCCCGGGTGGACACTGTTGTAGCACAACAGACAAACGGTCTATGGTTTCAGCTTTAATAAGCACTCTTTATACGCTGGTATTACTAACGGTTAAGTGATACCCAAGTTCTCAGAGTGTCACGACAAGCATCCACTATATAAACTGGCAACACTGCCACTCAGTATTTGGGCTATTAGTGATACTCAAGATCTCAGAGTGTCACTACAAGCATCAATCTTAATAAACTGACAACACTGCCACACAAGAACGCATGGAGGGTGTCACCTTTCCTATTACCATGGGTCTGTTTCTTCTGATGATCACAATAAGTCCATCTGCCTACACAGCCTTTGGCCACACCGGATAGTATTACACTGTCCCTGACATTCCAACATGTTTTTATAGCTGTAACATGTAAGCCAAACTACTCAACTTTACTGATCGTACCGACAAAAACACCGACTGAAACTGGTATCCTAGTTTATTTGCTGCCAAATCATTGATCCAGGACATCCAATACATGACGACATTTTCTGTAATTTGTCAATGTAAGAGTTAGTGACATATTATCAGATTCCAGCATTCATATTACTACGTGAATCAGACACGTAAATAAAAATATAACGCTTAATTATATAAGCATGTTTGCAATGTTTCTTCTGTTACCAATCCTAAATGAACAATATGTGTCTTAATGCACACAGACCTCGCCATTTCATTAAACTGGTTTATTTAAGCCTTATACTGGTTATATATAATTATCGATAAACGGAGATATGGCTTTCGATTCGTTTGTTCCTGTTATTTGATTCTGAATGTATTAGAGATCGTCATAGAGTTAGGCTAAAGACTGGAAGACCTAAAGGGGTACGTGGAGTAAATACGTCATAGAGGAATTCCCCTTCTGCACATTTCAGGAATTTTCTAGCAGAACAAACTAATTATTGCGTGAACATTGTACTACTTCCATGTGATTTCAATACACAAGTCCACAAACCGTTTGTGAAATGAGTGAACGATGCCTACCTTTAAGTTTGACGGTACAGTCGCACCAATACGGGTGTAAGGCGTATCGAAATCTACCCGTTACACACATCAAACGCAATTTGATTTTTCAATAATTACATTGCGGATATCGCTCTATGTTCAAAGGCTTACTAAAGTTGCAAGTACAGCAACTAGACACGTGTCCACAGTGAATGACAGTCTGCTCCCACTGGTGTGACATCTGTAGACAACGTTCTCAGTTGTTGCTGAAACAGAAGAGTCAGGCATATTGAGTCTGCTTGAGACATTATTGTTATGCACGTATTCAACGAACATTGTCACGGTGTAAACATAAGTTGTACGTAGTATTTGCAGGTTTTGAGAAGGCTTTTGGTTTATCGTTTTAAGCTATGGCAGTGTCTTCGACTGACTGGCACACGAGAGAAAATGTTTACTATTCTAAATTCAATCTAATATAATGTGAGGTTATGTGTTCGTTGAATCCTTTGGGCGTAAGACAAGGTTCTATTGAGAGACCGATCTGATTGTATTGTTTCATTGGGGAATTATATAGAGAATCTCACCCGACTGTCATTTGATATCAAATATATCAACTCGAATTATGATATATAAAATCTCACCCGAGTGTCTTTTGCTATCAAATATATCAACACGAGTTGATAAAAGTCGAAAGACGATTTTTGCCACTTTTATCAACGAGTGTTGATATATTTGATATCAAAAGCCACGAGGGTGAGATTTTATTTATCATCCAACATCATTCTTTCAACTTTTTCAATTTGTAGACAGTAATTAGCAGTGTCTTCGGTGTAAAAAGTACTGCAAAAGGCTTCAGTAGCAGAGCCATTAGTGATGTCATTTGATTGTGACGTCATGGTAACCAGTGACGTCACAATGGTGTGCAAAGCATTGTGATGTTATTTCATTGCAGCGATATCTACAGTGTAGATATCGCTTCATCTCATCCAAGCGATATCTCCTGTGGGAGCAAGTTTTGGATGATAAATAACGAATAGCTCCGTACTGTAAACATAGTGTCTATATATTTCCAGATTTAATGAAAATATTGATTCTGCTTGCTACAGATGATTGTAGATGTACAGTTATTGATCTTAAAAAAAAAATTAAATATGTTAAATACACACACGAAAGAATGCATATTATCGGTACATTTTCAAAAAATAATAAAAATTGTGTTCTGTCGAAAAGATGGTTCCTTAGGGTGGAAAGAAAGATGTTTTTCGATGATCAGAAAGTCAATATAGAAGATCACTACTCATATTCAGAAATCTTGTTCACATACACAAAGGATGTGAAAGAAATGTGCCAAAGACTTACCCTTGCATGCAAAGATATAGCTTTCATAAGTGTAATGTATGTTACTTATAAAGTGGGAACTGTCACCTCATATTATTATCGTACCGGTTTGAAAAACGGGGGGATATAGCGATATCAGCATGTCCGTCTAAACTTCCAAACCTTTGAATATGTCTTGTTGCAACTTGCTATATAGATCAGTCCGGTTGTGGACTGGTTTCCTCTGATGATTCTGATTCTGATGGCAGTGCTCGTTTCCAGAGCAAAGCTGCAATATTGTTATTTTTTTCTGCTATACAGATATGTCTAGTGATGAACTTGTGCCTTTTGATGATTTGGGATCTTGAAAAATACTGACCTTTCTTACTAATGAAGAAAAGGTATCCAATGGCAATGAACCAAAAGTGGGGTAGCCAAACTCCATTTCCGAATTGCACCAGACCTGGGGTTTTGTCATCTGCTGGTAACGCATGTCTTAAAAAGCTGTCTGGCACCCAGATACAACCAAATTTATTATATGGTTCTAAAGTATGGGCTATTCAACGTGTGTGTGTGTGTGTGTGTGTGTGTGTGTGTATGAGAGAGAGAGAGAGAGAGAGAGAGAGAGAGAGAGAGAGAGAGAGAGAGAGAGAGAGTGTGTGTATGTGTGTGTGTGAGTGTGTGTGTGGGGGAGAGAGAGAGGGAGAGAGAGAGAGGGAGGGAGAGAGAGAGAGAGAGGAGGGGAGAGGGAGAGAGAGGGGTAGAGAGAGAGGGGTGAGAGAGAGAGGGGAGGGAGAGAGGGGAGAGGGAGGGAGCGAGAGAGAGGGGAGAGAGAGAGGGAGGGAGAGAGAGAGAGTGTGTGTGTGTGAGAGAGAGAGGGAGGGAGAGGGAGTGAGGGAGGGAGGGAGAGAGAGAGAGGGGGGAGAGAGAGAGAGAGAGAGAGAGAGAGAGAGAGAGAGAGAGAGAGAGAGAGAGAGAGAGAGAGAAACGTGACCTACTGCCGGAGCCTGTAGATGTTTCCTCCTTCTCAAGGATCAGTGGTACGAGACTGTTCCAGAAGACACACTGCTGCTTTCTCAAGCCCTGGTCTGTGGATTGTCCTGACGCAGAGAAGACAAGGAAACGTTCATCCATCGTGTTGTATCCAGACCATTGGAAGCTGGGTGTTTCTGGCAGGTTGGGGTTGCTGTCAAATAAAGTGGCTCCCGTTTAACATCATAACAATTGTCCACTTGCTGGGTTGAGTTTTAATTGAGCATAAAAGAAATCATTTCAAAGACTGTACTTCACATTCAGCATCATGTTACGAATGATACATACATTTCCCGCACACAGCATATGGATGCCCTATACATATTTACATGTGAACCATAGAACACCAAACATTAACCATAGCACAACATACAGCATAAGTGAGTGAGTGAGTGAGTTTAGTTTAATGTCGCTTTTAACAGTATTCCAGTTATATCACGGCGTGTCAGCTTAATGTGGGAGGAAAGCCCGAAGTGATGCAGGTCTCAGACGTTTAACACTTCAGTGAAACCCACGAGCACGGGTATGGTGCTGACAAACCTAGAATCATAATCGGGGCGAACCGGGATTCGAACCCACAATCGTAGGTTTCTGGCGTGATTAAGGGACGCAACTCTGCACAGCAAATCGCTGCGCCTTAAACGACTGGGCCACCCGAGCTCCCACATACAACATAAAATAGACAAAGAAACAACACACAATAAACAACATAAAATAGACACACACACAAACAACACACAGCATATAACAACACACAATATAAAACATTGTAGAACAGGCAATAATGCACAGCACTCAACACAGACTATAACACAACATACAAAACACTACAACGACACACCAAAATACACAACACACAACAAAGAAACAACATACAACAGAACACAACATGCAACACACAACATCCGAAAACACGCAACAAAGCACAACATGCACCAACACAAAAAATACAACACGTAACTTGAATACTGCTGCGTGTGGCGTTAAACAACAAACTGATTGGTCCAAACTGAATTATTCACAGACCGCCGCCATGTAACTTGAATGCTGCTGAGTGTGGCGTTAAACAACAAACAGGTTGGTCCAAACTGAATTATTCCCAGGCCGCCGCCATGTAACTTGAATACTGCTGTTTGTGGCGTTAAACAACAAACTGAATTATTCACAGGCCGCCGCCATGTTGCTTGAATACTGCTGATTGTTGCGTTGAACAACAAACTGATTGGTCTAAACTGAATTATCCACAGGCCGCCACCATGTAGCTTGAATACTGCTGAGTGTGGCGTTAAACAACAAACAGGTAATCACTAAATGGCACACAGTTTCGTTGTGAATTTGTGTTGTTCCTGTTTACAGATGCACAGGCTAAATCGTTGCCATGTATACAACAACATTCGTCCTTTCGTATCTACGCGACGACGTACTTACCCTGTTTTAGCAAAGTTTGTCCAGTATGTCATGACATTCCGACTTGTTGACATATCTCCCTCAGATGCAGGAATGGCACCTCCGATAGGGTGCCCAAATACCATCTCGATCTCAAACGAATGAGGCACTCCCATCCATAGCGGTAGTTGTAACGAGGAGAGCCGGTAGTTGAAGGAATACAAGTATGCGTTTTGTTTGACAGAATAAGAGGCCGCAAGTTTGACAGCTGGACATACGAAATAGCTGTCTCCAACCACGTTACAGGCAGTTTCCACGTAGTCTGGATGTAGTGAGGGGACATGGACTTCAGCATATTGAGCCATAACTGCTTTGACCATGGTTGATGATTGACCACTGAAGGCCGCAATCGATTTGACAGTGGTTAGGAACTGTGTTTTATTGACATTTATTTGACTTGCAAATACAGGAAATAATGTTGGCATAATTTCTGGGAGAAATAGACTGCCTTCATTTTCGTTAACTCCCAAGAGAATTTCCGTTTGTTTCATTTGCCCTTTCTCTACGAGAGATGATGGAGAGTCTGGTAAGAAATGACCATCCACGACAGGAATGAATGCACCAAGAAGGAGAGCCTGATATTGTAATATCGTTTCTGAAGGAACGTCTTTGATACACTGGAAAATGTCAGCATCGGATTTTCCAGAACAGCTCGAAAGCTCTGCAAGTCTTCTGGTGCTTCTGATAGCCTTCGATGGTTCCATCGATGCCCATGTTGCATCTGGGGACCCACTTTCAAGAATGGCCCGCGTGAAGAAGTCGCGTGATATGGGCGATAACAAATGAAGCCCAATCGATGCTGCCCCCGCGCTTTCTCCAAACAAGGTGATCATGCTTGGATCTCCGCCAAATCTTTCAACATTGTTCCGTATCCACTGCAGGGCAAGAGCCTGGTCCATGAGACCTTGGTTACCAGGAAACGTGTCAGGTCCAAGATATAAGAAGCCATGAGCACCCAGGCGATAGTTCATGGACATCACGATGACGTTGCTTTCAGCAGCAAGATACTGACCATTATACAAAGGCCTGTTAATAGATCCCGTCACAAACCCTCCACCATAGATCCATACCAGGGTTGCGAGTTTCGCATTCGATGTGACATTAGCTGGCGCCCATACATTGATGTAGAGACAATCCTCACTGAAGAGGGGTGGAATTGCTCTCCAAGGCATTCCGTTTGCAGGTTTAGCTGTTTGATGGCACGATGGTTTCATTGAAAGTGCGTCCTTGACCTCCGGTCGCCAAGGGTCAATTGGTTGTGGGTACTTGAACCTAAGATCACCTATGGGGGGTTTAGCATAAGGAATACCATAGTACGTGTCGATGGACTTGCCAAGGACGGAAGCTCTCAGACCAACAACTTTGCCATGCGTGGTGTCGACTTCCTGTCCAGACGCTCTCTGTGCTGTTGTGATGAGGCAGGAGACCAGTGTGCACAGTAGTATCTGCGTCATGGTTTGTCTGTGAACTATGTAAAATATAATCATTATTAAGTCATGTGTAGGATCGAGATGAGCGAGTGAGTGGTCGAGCTTCAATAACACTGAACCGAATTTAAATGGGTCTTTAAGAATGTGTAATTTTGAGAGTCGTGGACTGTATTAAATCACGTTGTCGGCTTGAAAGATAAACATCATGCAGTTCTGATGTGGCATGAGTTAACCCTAGACTTAATGTATGTCTGATTGAGCGAGTAACGCTTTATGATAATAATGAATTATAATTATATTTTAAGGAATTTGATGGTGACCAAGGAAGGGTTTCGATCAAGGGTATAAGTGATTTATGTTGTTAATGCCTTGCTTTAACCCTTATTGTCCAGGAATCACTTCCAGGTTTACTGTTGAAAGCTGGTTGGGTTTAACCTACCGATGGATGAAATTTCGGCTGATAGATTTGTTGTTTGTGTTGTTTTTGTTGTTGTTATTTTGGTCATTGGTGGGTTGATTGTGCGTTTTCGGGATGTCTTTATTGCCTTCAGATTGGCTGACAATTAAATCGTTTATCATGGAAGTGAAACTTTGAAGTTGACAGTTGGCTTCATGATGTCAATCACTGGTTTTCCTGGCTCATATTTGATTATTGGCGGGTCGCGGAGGCATATTTGGGATATTGCTGACTTCTGACTACATGCAATTGCTAACTCAAACAAAAGAAGATTTCACTGAACCAAAGTACGACTGAGGGATTATCAACCAAAGTCAGTGAGACCCGTGAAGATCCAGGATAGAATAGGTCTTCAGCAACCCATGCTTGCCATAAAAGGCGACTATGACTGTCGTAAGAGGCGACTAACGGGATCGGGTGGTCAGGCTCGCTGACTTGGTGGATGGATGTCATCGATCCCAATTGCGTAGATCGATGCTCATGATGTCAATCACTGGATTGTCTGGTCCAGACTCGATTATTTACAGACCGCCGTCATATAGCTGGAATATTGCTGAGTGCAGCGTTATACAAACATACATACAAACAAAATCTTACTGGTATACTTTCTAACACTCCAGGAACTTGGATGTGCTGACGTGCAATCAGCCTAGTCAACGACCCATTTAGTCCCCCCCTTGGGCAAGCACAGGTTCCTCGGTACCTGTATTCCAGCATGGGGATATCCAGGGATATAGGTGCAGTGATGCATGTCCACACATACAATGTACAAATCACATAATATTTGGCGAATACATTGAGTACGCGTGAATGTTTTATTCTGCTTTTAGACCTACTCCGAACTCGGTTTTCAGCGAGACTAGCGAACGCTTTAACCACTAGGCTACCCCATTGTCATTTGTTTGTATGGAGTGTATGGAGTGAATATTTAACAATATTCCAGTTATATCACGGCGTGTCAGCTTAATGTGGGAGGAAAGCCCGAAGTGATGCGGGTCTCAGACGTTTACCACTTCGGTGAAACCCACGGGCACGGGTATGGTGCTGACAAACCTAGAAACACAAGCGGGGCGAAAAGGGATTCGAACCCACAATCATAGGTTTCTGGCGTGTCCAAGAGACGCAACTCTGCACAGCGAATCGCGGCGCCTTGGTTGGTTGGTTGGTTGAGTTGTTGTTCTACGCCACATTTAGCAATATTCCAGCTATATGACGGCGGTCTGTAAATAATCGAGTCTGGACCAGACAATCCAGTGATTGATATCATGAGCATCGATCCACGCAATTGGAAGCGATGACATGCATCAACCAAGTCAGCGAGTCTGACCACCCGATCCCGTTAGTCGCCTCTTACGACAAGCAAAGTCGCCTTTTACGGCAAACATGGGTTACTGAAGACTAATTCTACCACCCGATCCCGTTATTTGCCTCTTTGGCCTGGCATAGTCGCCTTTTACAGCAAGCAGGGGTTGCTGAAGGCCTATTCTATCCCGGAATCTTCACGGGTCGTGGCGCCTTGGACGACTGGGCCACCCGTTCCCCCTGTTTGTATGGAAAGTGAGACATTATTGAGTGATGGTAGTGTTGGATTTACACAGCTAATTAAATTAGATTTGATTGGTGGACAATGCATGTTTCTCTCATGCCTTTCATGAAACGCTCATAACATATTTTAACTCCCATAACCCACATTGATCGAGCTATGAAAGTAAAGATCTCATTCAATTTTCCACACCTGTTTTAATTCCCGACGACAAAACTCGCATTACCCTTTGTTTGCAAGAAAAACGATAAATCTTACCTTGATAGACAACACAAAAAAATGCAGTTATACAACCGTAGAGACGTGTGCTCTGTGTGAAACACACCCGTCCCAGTAGGTTCCAACTTGTATTTGAATAGAGGAGCTGTCGCTCTCACTGAAAACCTTTCAACGTGATGTTTGTACAGTGATCGGTCGCTCCTCAAACAATCTGTTTGACCTGTCCGACTTTAAGCGCTGTTAAAATTGCACGCATAGACGATTATCATAACCGTTGTCCAGAAGCTGTCAAGGAATCATACGTAAGGATAATATATGGATGAACAACTTCTTTATTACAATTAGGAGCGACGTTTCGGCGTAGGTTCTGAAGGGGTATCCTTTGATAGAATGTCCACCTCTATATTTGAGGTATTAGATGTGGTTCAATGTTTTTGTCAGCTACATATTTTTACTTAATGACAACACGCAAGCGCTGTCTATGTTCCACGAAATATATTCAAAATTTAACGCTTCACATCTCTGACTGTGCTACGTAAAGCTGTGAAACGACGGGCGACCTACTCCCGCCCTACCGGCCTCGTGTTTGTAAAGTCAAGGTAAATATGCACTGTGTACTCAATACCTCATCACTGTGTTCTCAATACCTCATCACTGTGTTCTCAATACCTCATCACTGTGTTCTCAATACCTCATCACTGTGTCCTCAATACCTCATCACTGTGTCCTCAATACCTCATCACTGTGTTCTCAATACCTCATCACTGTGTTCTCAATACCTCATCACTGTGTCCTCAATACCTCATCACTGTGTCCTCAATACCTCATCACTGTGTTCTCAATACCTCATCACTGTGTACTCAATACCTCATCGCTCTGTACTCAATACCAGACAAACCTAGAAACGTAATCGGCGCGAACTGGGATTCGAAACCACAATCATAGTTTTCTGACGCAACTCTGCACAGCGAATATCGTCGCCTTAGACGACTGGCCCACCCGAGCCCCCCTATCAGTTATTAATTGCTTTGTATGGTCATACACCGTGGTTAGGTCAACACTACTATAAGTAGACAGTTGGCACGACTGCACGAGTGCGTTGACATTTCAGAACTAAGTATTTGACATTCCGCGCAAGTCTGTTCCCAAGCGCACGTACACGTCAATTGTCTTTTCGTATACAAAGGAGAAAGGTATTTGTGTGCTAAATCCTAAACGTAACCGTAGTCATTAATACCCAACGAAGATACCAAAGCCAAAGTTGACGGCCGTTTACTAAAAGAACATCTATTGGGGGAGGGGAGGGGGGTCGGGTCTTCTGTGTAGAATAGGCCAGCAACCTATGCCAGGCCAAAGAGGCAAATAACGGGATCGGGTGGTAGAATTAGTCTTCAGTAACCCATGTTTGCCGTAAAAGGCGACTTTGCTTGTCGTAAGAGGCAACTAACGGGATCGGGTGGTCAGGCTCGCTGACTTGGTTGATGCATGTCATCATATCCAAAGTGCGTGGATCGATGCTCATGATATCAATCACTGGATTGTCAGGTTCAGACTCAAGAAAACGTTTTTTCTTGATTATTTCAAAATCTAGGTGTTTCAAAGTTCCGTTTCAAAACCCCATATTAGGTGTTGCCATGATCATTTCCAAAGCGAGGTCTAAAAGCAAAGGTGACGCTCCCTGTTGCGGAATGGAAACCGAAAAACAAGCACTTTCTATGCGTTGCGCACAACTGCACACCACTGTTGTTTGTTTCTTGTTTTACGCCGCACTCATCCAGATTCCAGCTTCACGACGGAGGTCTGTGTAATAACCGAGTCTGGACCAGACAATCCAGTGATTGACATCATGAGCATCGATCCACGCAATTGGGATCGATGACATGTATCAACCAAGTCAGCGAACCTGATCACCCGATCCCGATAGTCGCCTCTTACGACATGCAAAGTCGCCTTTTAAGGCAAGCATGGGTTGTTGAAGACCTCTCCTCTACCCGGATCTGCAAGGGTCTATTTCTAACAGTACATACATGTGTGTGTACTTAAAAGTAATTCTGTACGTGTCTCGTCCGAACCTCCAGTGCGTAAGAAAGCAGTAGTCACGATGTTTGCCACCTGTGACCTAGTAGCTCCTTTTGTTCGCCTCGACTCGAGGTAAGAAAGGAGAAAGTTTCCCTTTGAATTTGAAGTCAATAGGCGGTGTTACATGTATATAGATTACAGATACCGATTTTATTACAACGAAGTTGAAGTTGACGTTATCTAACTATCAGTTCCAGTACAATACACACTGTCATCACACACACTGAGATGATGACTCAACATTCCTAGTCCAGTCAGTGTTTACCCAAGCGTGAATGGGGTATGGAGTAGAAGGCGCATGTTACCTTGACTGCACAAACAACGAGGAGGCCTAGCTAGAAGTGGGAGTAGGTCGGCCGATATTTCATAGGTTTACAGAGTACATTCAGAGCAGTGAATAAAGTTATCTTGAACATATCAACGTGAGTTTTCGCGGCACATTCACAGTGCGGCCTAAAGCACATGTTGTTTAATGACGGTGTAGTTGGCATAAACTTTTATTACAACGAGATATTCAAAACGAATATCACTGCACCAACCAAGCAACCCGATCCCGTTAGTCGCCTCTCACGACAAGTATAGTCATCTTTTAAGGCAAGCATGGCTTGCTGAACACCTATTAAACCCCGGATCTTCCCCGGCGTCAAACACCGTTGTGTCGAAGTTGAAGGGACCTACGTAAATACTTCGAATTATAATAGACACAACCGCAAATGATGAATAAAGACAGAATATACACCAACCATGCATTCACGTCGAGACAACTGTAAGTTCGACACATAAAAGTTCGACTTAATGGTGTTTGACTGTAACAATAATGATAAAAACATTTGTATTGCGCCAAATACCATTCACACGTGGATTCTTATGGCGCAAAAGAGCTACTAAAGCAGGCATGATACAAAGAACACAATTCATGATAGGTTGTAGTGTTTGACCCGTGAAGATTCCGGGGTAGAATAGGTCTTCAGCAACCCATGCTTGCCGTAAAAGGTGACAATGCTTGTCGTAAAAGGCCACTAACGGGATAGGGTGGTCAGGCTCGCTGACTTGGTTGATACATGTCATCAATCCCAATTGCGTGGATTGTTGTTTTACGCCGCACTCAGCAATATTCCAGCTATATTACGGCGGTCTGTAAATAATCGAGTCGGGACCAGACAATCAAGTGATTGATATCATGACAATCGATCCACGCAATTGGGATCGATGACATGCATCAACCAAGTCAGCGAGCCTGACCACCCGATCCCGTTAGTCGCCTTTTACAAGCATAGTCGCCTTTTACAGCAAACATGGGTTGCTGAAGACCGACCTATTCTATCCCGGATAGTCACGGGTTTTGCAATTTAATGCTGCAACTTAATAATCTTCGAAGAGCAATACTTGGTGACGAAGCTGTTCATTTTGTGTACCTGACGTTATCTTACTATCAGTTCCAGTATAACACACACTTGTCACGACACACACTGAGATGATGACTCAACATTCCTAGCCCTAGAGAGAAAGTTGTGTAAATGTAAACGGCCTGGTAATGAGAGAATGTCTCTGAAACATATTTTTGTTAAAAAGCGAAAACATTTTGACAAAACTGTGCAAACTGCTAAACGAATGTATGCGACAGGGGAAAGTAAACGGCTTTAAATGTGTGAGGATAATGATAGAGAGTTCTGGAAGAAGATTGGTAAAATTGGGGTAGGTGGGGAGAGACGAAGACAGATCCCCATGAGAGTGGTTTTAGAGGATGGAAATGTGTCTGAGAAATGGAGTGATGTACTAGATAAGTGGAAGAATGATTATTGTAAACTGCTGAATGGTGACGTCAGGATGCAGAATGTTAAGTGTGACAGTGAGACTGGTGAAACACATATATTGTTCGACGCTACAATTACTCTCTATGAAGTAACCAGAGCGGTTGATAGAAGCCACTGTGGCAAGGCTCCTGGTGTTGACGGTATTCCAATGGAATGTCTTAAATCAAAATATGTTATTTCGCTGATGCACAATATCTTCAATATATGTGTTAGCACAGGGAAAATCCCTGCATTGTGGTTAAAGAGCATTATTAACCCCATACCAAAGTGTTCTACTTTAGATCCTGCGGATCCTTTATCATATAGAGGTTTGACCCTCACCAATTCTATGTACAAATAATATTGTTATTTTAAATAACCGTCTGCAATCTTGGGCTGAAAGCACAGGAGCTCTAAATGATGCACAAAATGGGTTCCGGAAGCGAAGATCAACTACGGATCATATTCACTCTGTTTGTTCTTTTATTGAAACTAGAAAATGTATTAAAAAAGACACTTTTTCTGCTCTTATTGACTTTCATAAAGCGTATGATAGCATTAACAGAGGTGTGCTGTGGGAGAAATTATGTAACATTAGCGTGAAAGGGAAAATGTTTCTAGCACTTCAATCTATATATGATAATGTGAAATGCAGTGTACGTATAAATGGTATGCTTACACCCTGGTTTAATGTTAATCGTGGTTTAAAACAAGGATGTTTACTTTCGCCAATTCTGTTTAACTTTTTTATTAATGATTTGCTTGACAAGCTAACTGAAACTGGTATTGGTATTTGTGTTGATGATATTACTGTTGCAGCCTTAGCATATGCTGATGATCTTATTTTACTTGCAGAATCGGCAGATGCATGATTTTAATCGTCTATTTCATGTTATGAATACATGGTGTCTTGATAATAGTATCCTTATTAATAATGACAAGTCCAAGATTGTACACTTTAGAAATGTAAGTGATCCAAGAACAACAACAGCCTTTTTTAATATTGGTAACTCTGTTTTAGACATTGTTGATTGTTATAATTATCTAGGCCTACTGCTCACGGAACATCTTGACTACAATGTTATGTCAAAAGCAGCAGCTAAATCGGCTGACAGATCATTAGGTCTTCTTATATGTAAATATAAGGCAATTGGAGGAATGCAATCCACTACTTATTACAAATTGTATGATACGATGGTTTGGCCAGTCTTTAGTTATGGGGCATCTATCTGGGGTCATCGTGACATTTTTTCCGT